GGGTTGTGGGGGCAGCAGCTTGAACAGGGATGCTCAGACATGTCTTTCCACAGCCACCTCTTCTGGAAGGGTTCCAAGGCATTACCAGATCAACCGAGAGACATCGTCTCTCCAGCGTATCCTGGGTATTCCTCGGGGTCTCCCCCCAGTCAGACATGCCCTAAGAACCTCCTTAAAGAGGCGCTCAGGGGGCATCCTTACTAGATGCCCGAACCACCTCAACTGGCTTCTCTCGGCGCGGAGGGGTATTGGTTCTACTCTGAGTCTCTCCCGGATAACAGAACTTCTTACCCTATCTCTAAGGAAGAGTTTGGCTACCCTGTGGAGGAAACTCATTTCAACTGCCTGTATCCGCAATCTCATTCTTTCTGTCACTACCCAGAGCTCATGACCATAGGTGAAGGTAGGAACGTAGATCGACAGGTAAACAGAGAGCTTTGTCTTACAGCTCAGTTCTCTCTTCACCCCAACGGACTGGTACAGAGTCTACAATACTGCAGATGCTGCACCACTCCATCTGTCAATCTTGCACTCCGTTCTTCCTTCACGTGTGAACAAAACCCCGAGATACTTGAACTCCTCCACTTGAGGCAGAACCTCACCCTCGACCCAAAGACAGCAATCCACCCTTTTCCGGTTGAGGACCATGGCCTCAGATTTAGAGGTGCTGCTTCACACTCAGCTGCGTACCACTCCAGTGAGTGCTTAAGATCATGGCACGATGACGCCAACAGGACCACATCATCTGCAAAGAGCAGAGATGGAATCCCAAGGCCACCGAACCAGAAACCCTCCGCCGGCTGGCTGCACTGAGAAATTCTGTCCATAAAAGTTATGAACAGAAACAGTGACAACAGGCAGCCCTGGCAAAGTCCAACTCCCACCCTGAGCGGGTCCGACTTACTACCTGCAATGCAAACCAAACTCTTGCACTGCTTGTATAGGGACTGAACAGCCCATAACAATGGACCCCCAATCCCATACTCATGGAGAAACCCCCCCCCCCCCACACACACACACACATACAAACACACACACACACACACACACACACACACACACACACACA